TGAAAACGTCTCAATGTCAATTGCTTTGGAATGAATTCTTCTGTATGAAAAAAAAAGTTGTGCTGTAAAGTAAAAAAAAAATATTAGAGCAATTAAGAGAAAGAATAAGAACAAATCATTCTGGAAGAACGCAAAGGAAAATAGCTTTAGATACTTAAGTGACAATAGAATTTATTCTCATAATTGTTTTAATAGCTTTTGTATAATCCTCATCGCTATTATGAGATAGAAAATGTATTTATCAAATCTGTAATCATTATGCCAAAAAATCTGAATTACTGTAATATTTTTCATATTGTTAAAACTCTAACTTTAATTGTAAAAAAAAAAATTAAAAAAAAAAGGCCCGTTTTTTCCCATAAACTTTTTCTTGGGGAAGGGGCTCCTCCGATATGACTGCCCCATGTGGAGGGCTTCCTCCCATGGGGGGCTTCCTCCCATAGTCCTCCACGGTCCCTGTGGGCTTCCCCTGGGGGGTGGGGGGGAAGTGCCTTCATGCATCATGCACCCCGATGGCAGCTGGCTAGAGCCAAGGCTGCGCAGTGCGTGGTGTGGGTCGTGGCCTTTTCTCCCCCCTCTTGGGGTACATGCCATGGTGGCGACTGTGGACGCCCATGGGCGCCAGGATGTCTGTCTGCCCATGCACAAGAAGAGACAAGCAGCTAACAGCACATAGTTACAACATTGAGAGGTTAAAAGGGTTAGCCCACTGGTATGGGGGACTTAAGATATGGACTCCACTGATCTTAATCCCTCCCTTTTCTGCATTATGATTCTAAGCCTGTTTTTCTCTGAAATAGAGTATTTCCCTCTCTGATGCTCAGTTGCTGTATGCTTGTTTTTGTCCCTGCCATTCTGTGGGTACTTTCTAATTACAATGTCATAAACAAACTAAAGAAAAGAGTATTGTGATATTGTCTCTTTGCAAGTTCTTTTAGGTATTGTTTTCTATGTTTTCCCCAGGTAATGGGTACTTAATCCAAGATTATGTATAATAAATTATAAAATGTTTTTACCAATCCAGACTGACAGCCCTCTTAAAAGAAATTCACCATGTGAGCTAACAGGCTTGCCTTAGTTAAAAGTGAACTATGGATAAACAATTTAAAAACCCCTGTAGCCAGCTGTCTCTTGCCTTAGTTTAAAAGTAAAATATAGATAAACAATTCAAAACATTTAGGCTAAAGAAAAACAAATGCCTTTTTGTATTAATTACATTGGTAAATTGTCATGTGCTGTTTGAGCTCACTGAGACGCTGACTCTGGAGATGGGATTGGCCCTCCTACTTCAGATTCAATCCTATTATCTCAAGATATGTTCTCCAAGATTTTTCCAGGTTCAGGCTGGCCCCCTGACCCTGTGACAAGAAAAAGGAGAACAAAAAACAGCCTAGGAGTAAAGGCACTGTGCAGGTGAGAACAGCTAAGGTGTAAACTAATTTCAACAGAGGGTATTACTATCTCTAGTAAAAGCATTTAATGGGATTCTCTATTTGAACACAATACTGAGTAAAGTCACTAACACAAACTAATGTAAAATGTATGATAAATACAAAGATAAATTTAACTACTTAATGAAAAAACAACAGGACAGCTGGGGCTACAGGGAGACCCTGTCTCAAAAAGACCAAGAGAGAGAGAGAGAGAGAGAGAGAGAGAGAGAGAGAGAGAGAGAGAATCTTCTGTCTAGAATTTCTCAGTCAGTAACTAAAGCGTGACAGTTTTCTTAAACTGATTATGCTGGAGACTGTAAACATCAATTTCATAATGTTTAACTATGTACCAATAGCTTCTTTCTACCTAAAGCAAAGTTTTGGTAGACCATTCTCTAAACTACATAAAGTAAAAGATTTTTAACTGTCTTGTGTTTTCTATAATGTTTACCTAGAAACTTATAAAGCACAGTGTGCACACCAGTTATATTAACTTATTACACTATCTTATGTATATAATTTAGATTCCATGTTCTTTTAATAAGACGATGCTACACACTACTTTCTTCTGAGTCAAACAACTACCATCTTCATGACTTCAGCTGTGTTCACTAACAAAAGATAATCACAATTGGACTTGTTGACTTAAGTATCATATTCTTTAATTAAAGGAGGAGGGGTAAACAGGGTCATTGGACCTTCACCTGAGTATCCAGCTGCTCTTCCCAGCCAACTGTATGTAATTTGGCCCCAATTATATATGGTCTCCTGTTTTGGGGGAGGACTAAAGTACATTATCTGGGCAAAGCTAGGAAAAAAACAGTCTTGATCCATGATGGGTTAAGGCTTTCCAGTGTACATATTCTCAGGTCACTCATACACCTCAGCAACCCCTCAGTCATCTCTGTAACTAAGCTCAATAAATTTATTGGTTCCCCAGAAAAAACTTTAATGTAATCAAACACTGGTTCAATACTACAACTTAAAAAGGGGGAAAACATTGCTTAGTATCCCCAGGAAAAGGATTCTCACAACAGATGGAAAATTTATTTGTTAATGATATTATGTCTCATGGTTATTAAGAAAGAGAATGGTAAGGTAAAAGACATTAGAAGGATACAGGAGTGGAGGTATTTTGTTAAAAATGAGAAAGCCTAAGCAAGTGATGGAGGTCTGTGTAGTTTTGTTATGATTTATCAAGGATGATAAAAAGATAATATATAGATAATCTTAAATTTTCTAAGGTCATAGCTTAGTCAACTAGTTTAAGAATGTCTAGTCAAGGTTTACTTAAGAATATTTGGTTTTTGCCTAAGCTTTATCTAGATAGCACATGGTAATGACAAGTACCAGATTGGTGTAACTAACCTTCTTGGGTGTTTAACAACCAGACTTTGAGGCCTATACTAATCTGGTCAAAGGGACTTAAAGGACTGTTTTTGTTCCTTGCTCTCCAAGGTCAAGTAAGTTCTAGGGGACTATGGAGCATCTCTCAAAATGCCCTGTAACTATGGTGAGTCACCTGTTCTCTTGTTCAGGGAGGCCATGGAAACACCACAAGGTAGACTTGAACCAGTCTACAAAGAAGAGGTTCAACACAGAGGAACATTTCCTTAATGCTTCCAAGTGAAGCCAGCCATAGTCAAGTAAGACCTTTGACCTATCTTCACATAGATGGAACTGGTGAAAGAAAGGAGCCAGGGGCTCCTCCCAAACCCATGTGACCCCTGAGGAACAGATCCTCAAACGACCTTTAAAGTAAAAATAAATTGGTTTATTTGGGCCAACTGTATGGTCTTAAACACCCCAAAGGAAAGCATAACCAAAGATTAAAGTCATCAGAATTCAAGGGATTACAAGTCCTAGACATTAGACTTAAGTTGTTATAACTTAATTCATAAGGTGTTATTTAGACAATTATTAGTCATTGATGAGTCTCTTCCTAATAAGACAATGCTACTCAGAAGTAAGACTTCAAATCTTGGTAAGCAATATTGTAGTGCACATCTACAGCTGAGGGAGACAACCCACTATTGTTCTAGCCTAAAAATTAAATGATGGCTAAATTTGTTTTCTCTCCCTATCTAGAGGGAACTGATTCTAGCCACTCCAACAGTTATCAAAGTGCCTGACAACAAATCATGAGTTCATCAATCATCAGTCCAGCCTTGGAAGGCAAAAGAAAAATGAAGAGGAACCCCTTAGATGGATGCTTTTGGAAACCCTCATCAAGAAATTCCAATGGACTTTAATTTGGACATTTGAAATTTGCATTGTTCTGACTTTCTGGTTCCCTGCCTAGAAATTGTAATACTGACTACTCTTGCCTTTACTTTTCCTTCACATCTCCTAGGCACCAGTCAAGGACCTTCTTTTCTCCTTATAGTTCAGAGTTATACAATTTGGGAGTCTTTTAGATAGGCCCGCTGAAGGGGTACCCCAATTGCCTCACCCTGTGTCCCTGTTCAGCATGGAAGAAGCCGTGGTCTGCATCCCAATTCCCTATCAGTAATTTGGGTAAACCCTTCAGAGGGTGTGTGATAAGAATAGGAGGAAGAAATTGGCTAGGCAGTTAGGGTAAAAAGACCCCAAAGAAAAGTAGCCAGTTTCTTTCTTGGCTAAAAGTCAAAATGTCCTTGGGCCTTTTGGCAATGTACCCTGTCCCAAGGGCCAAAAATGTTAAAAGTATTTGGGAGCTCTTATCCCTAAAAGATTTTAGGGTTACCTCTTCAGAGGAGGGACTTGTATAGTATTGGGAGAAGAATGCTGCTTTTTTGTGAGTCAAATGTTGTCAAGACTGACATTAATACTCTCAAAAAACTTCGTAATGACCTGCTTTCAAGATTTCAACCCACTGAACAATTAAGTTGGTTTGATAACCCCTTGTTTTCTTGGCTCTTACCCTTTGTTAGGCCCCTGATTATGCTATGTATTATTTTGATGCTTGCTCCCTGCCTTATATAATTTCTTTGATGACAAATTAGCACCATTGCTAAAATTAGTACCAATCAGGTCATGGTCCATTATCAGACCTTAGATTCTCCCCATATAGATGAATTGGCTCTTAAAGCATGTGATGACACTTCTCCATTATAAAATAAAACAGGGGAAGATGTTGGGGTGCCCTGCCATTAAGGTCGTATTCCACCATGTCCAGACGGCTCTCTGAGCTCTGCTCAAAATGGAGGACTCCCTTTCTCAGCAGGGGCTTCCTATTCTCCACCTGACTTTGTTTGGAAAGTGTCTCAAAGCACAGATGCCTGACCTAATTTGGAAAGCGTCTCGAAGCACAGATGCCTGACCTTATTTGGAAAGCGTCACGAAGCATAGATGCCTGACCTTATTTGGAAAGCGTCTCGAAGCACAGATGCCTGACCTTATTTGCAAAGTGCCTCCAAGTACAGATGCCTCGCCTTATTTGGAACATGACCTTTGACATAGTTCCCTGCAAATGCTGCCCCTGGTTTTCCTGTATGATAATTATGCATTGTACTACAGCCAATCAATCCCACCTCCCCTTTCTACATGATAGGGTCCTCCTCCAACATGTAAATAAAGCATACTATGAACACACATCAGGTAAAGCTTTGGCTGCTGTCCTCACCCTATATATTCCCTCCAACTCCCCTAAATAAATGAGCTGTCTCACTGAAGCTGACTCCTGGAAGTTCTTTCTGTCATACTCACAGTAGTCCTGACCCTGTTCAAGGCTTCTGCTCCCTTTCTTCTCACAGATTGGTAGCCAGTGACCCACGAGGGAAGAGAGACCCACAACTGGGTACTCATCAAAGAATACTAAGTTTCAGTTAGATGAGAGGGATAAATTATAGTGCTTTATAGCACAGAACGGTGGCTATAATAAATCTGATGTGTTGTATATTTTTTAAACTTATTTTTATTTTATTTTATTGTATTTTTAAAATTTTTTTTTACAATTAAAGTTACAGTTTTAACAATATACAAAATATTACAGTAATTCAGATTTTTTGGCATAATGATTACAGATTTGATAAATACATTTTATATCACATAATAGCGATGAGGATTATACAAAAGCTATTAAAACAATTATGAGAATAAATTCTATTGTCACTTAAGTATCTAAAGCTATTTTCCTTTGC